CTTGAGGCGTTTGAATGCCATGGAACCAGGAGAGGCTGATCTCTTGGAGGTATCTGGGTTCAATTATCCAATAACTTCACTTGTGACATGTCCTCAGTCTCGATTCTGATGGAGCACCTGCTGAATGCCGAAGTGATGCATTGCTGTGCTTGTCTTGGTTGAATCGTGGATGTGCAATCGACTTCTGTATGTAACAACAGAGTGGACACATCTCAACATCTACCCAGGCTCAGAAAAGAATTTCGGCTGCGACTGCTGCTCGTGAAGAGGAGGCCATGGATGAGGAAGGGGAAGAAGGAAATGAGAAGCCTTCTAAGAGATCGGCTGCTGGCTGTGGTAAAGGCAAGAAGTTGAGGAAAAAGAAAACAAAGAGGAATTTGAGCAAGGCATTGGAGGCAGCAAGAGCGCCGAAGGAGGCTGAGGGAAGCAAGGGCTCAGAAGAGCAGAAGGATCAGGATAAAGAGAAGGATGAGGATGAAAAGGAGGATGAGGAAAAAAAAAAGACTGAGGAAAACCCTGCCAAGTCCAAGAGGTCTGCCAAAGCTGGTCCAAAGGCTGGAGCCCCGAAAAAAAAGACAAAGACAGGCGAGCCCCCAGCTGCCACCCAAGATGCCGCTGCCAGCCAGCCCGAGCAAACTGCAAAAGAGCCGGAGGCTCCGGAGGACTGAGTGCATCAGGTGAATCTTGTAGTGGTGCCTTTGCCCTGTGTATGTAATGTGTGTGGTGATGCTTCCTGGAATGTCTGGGTGTGTTTGCACTTTGCAGGGATGTGTGCCTCGTTTATTCGATAGGATAGGACGGAGTTTGTGTTTAAGCTTTGCATGAGGCAGTGTGCCATGGCACTGTTTTGTGGGGTATTAAAAGCTCAGGTCGCTGTTGCCTCTTGAAATTTGCATTCATTTGCATGGGCACTGGCTCCAGCAGGATCCTACTGTGGTCTTGCTGAAAAAGCTCGCGAGCATGGATCCCGAGTTCAAGTTTCATGCCAACTCCAAGCCCCTTTGTCAATATGAATATGTCAGTGTGCTACTCACACAATGCCTGGAGTTGTTCTCTGGGTGTGACTGTTTTGTCACTCTGAGTTAACCCAAAGAGTGTTTGACATGTTCCACTTTGGGGGGTGTTGAGCTCAGGTCCTTCACACTTTACCCCAGCGACGAGACGATGGTGAAGCTCAATGCCCAGAACCGGCATTATGTGACCATCTGTTGTCGGCCAGGTTCCAAGCAAGTTTTGTATGCTGCTATACCAGCATGCTGCAGGAGGTAGTGTGCTGCTGAAGGCAAGTGTCTGAGTGTGAGTGTGTATCCATCAATGTGCATGTTTATAGAGGTATGTACAAAGACATATACATGCATCCACCTATGCATGCAGGCATGCTTACATGTATGTACACATAAATGTCTGGTGAGTCTAGTATACACACAAACATATTGTTATACACTCCTGCATACAGAAGCCGTATACATGTCACAGATCCCCACCCATCCATCCATGCATACATACATGTGTACATAAGTGCATACATACATGCATACAAACATGCATGCACTCATAAACACAAAAGCAGTTGCCTCGCCCAGGATCCCCGAACAGTCGTTCTATGTCAATCCGGGCAGCAAAGTGGCCAAAGAGATGATTGCCCGTGTCAACGAGAAGCTTCTGACCAGCTACAAGGTGCAGCATCTGCTGGGTTGTGTGTCCATCTCTGTTGAATAGAATCAAGACTGCTGCTGATTCTTTTGTGCTGTTGGATATGGTTTGGCAAGCTATATAAAGTACCCTTCTAAGCCTTCAGCCGATTGCATGGCAAGTGAGAAATACACAGTTCCTAGATTTGTGTTGCATCCATCGAGCATTGCCGAATGTTTGGAGAGTGTGCAGCTTGCATTTCCGGTAATTTCGTCCTGTGTCACAGGACAATACCAAGGGCGGGGTCAACGTTGCCTGGAGGCTGTCTGGTGGAGTCGTGAATGCGCTAGAGCCTCAGGGCAGTTGCTGCTTTTGTGCTCATATGCAAGTAGCACTGCCATTGGCAACACAGAAATCAATATGCTGCTTGAACGATACCTTCCCTGTGTGTGTCTCTCTCTCTCTCGCTCTCTGTCTATCTCTGTCTCTCACACTGGGCTTGCGCTCTGCATCGTGTGCACCCCGTACAGATGAGTGCTCAGCAATAAGAAACAATAACATCATGAAAAGAAATAGGCGATGCAGATCATCTTGATTTCTCGTAGTGGTTTGACCTGCTCAGGTGGGACATGGCCCGGCTTTTTGCTGGATGGCATGATGCCCCAGCTTGGTTGCGGGATTGAAGGACCACCCCTTTTCTGGGATCGTGCTTCTTCAGATTTTGTGACAGAGAGAGTGGACTAGGGGGTGAGTTTCACTGTTCGCACGAAGTCTAGTTGATGACATCTGTACTGGTCCATTGGTTTCGCCTTTCGTCTGAAGGTTACTACTACCGAGCAATTCTGTGATGTATGTATGTGTGCCTTGTGTGTCTGTCTGTCTGCATGTGTGTAGGTATGTATGTATTGGTCTGTACATGTATAGGACAAAACTCCTGCGAGCAAACATGTCTGTATGTATGTGCATGTATGCAGGAGTATCTATATGTGTTTAGGTGTGTCTCTGTGCATATACCTCAGTGTCTATGTATCTATGTATGTATGTGTCATGTTTGTCTTGTGTGTATGTGCATGTACATACACCTGCATCTACTTGGGCACTTCTTCTCTGCATCTGGGCATTAGGTAATATCCATCAGTGTTCATGTGCCTGTGTAAGTTTCAACATGAGCCAAACAACCACTTCTTGGGGGCATCACAGTGATGTAGAAATGCGTAGAATTGCATAGACATACACATGTACATACATGCATACATACACATGTATGTATATATATATACATATATATATACTTAGTGCTGGACGAAGGCCCTGGCTCATGTGGATGATGCCCAGTATGTGATGTCCTGAATTCTTTCGGGGATTTCTCTTAAAAAGTCAGTGCATATATTTATGTATACATAGCTGTATATATATACATATAGAGAGAGAGAGAGAGAGAGAGAGAGAGAGAGAGAGAGAGAGAGAGAGAGAGAGAGAGAGAGAGAGAGAGAGAGAGAGAGAGAGAGAGAGAGAGAGAGAGAGAGAGAGAGGGAGAGACAGTGAGAGAGAGAGGCACACATACATATACATGCGCAAGTATCTGTGTATATAAAGTATAAATTCATGGACATTACATCTTGAGTCCAAGTCAGGCCACAGCAATGTATAAGGAGCAAGGACTTCATTAGTGTCTGCATACGGTACCCCATATAGACACCCATTATGACCCCCAAGGAGACCACCTACCTGTGCCCAAACCATAGACTTGACTTTCTTCACGACCCCCCATGCTTTCCTTCATGTTACTATGTGCATGCAGGGGTTTCCTATGTCATTTGAACTAGACCTGCATGCCCTGCCAGGAGGACCCAGTGATGTGGGGCTGACTGGCTTCGTTGAGGCTCAGCATGGTCTGACTCTAAGTTGACACATGTCTACAGGTGTCTGTGGCTGATCAAGTTCATGGTGCCCTTTTATCGTGGCTTCTCACAATGCATGTGCTGGGCAAGGCCAGACATGCTGACCAGGATCTTGCTTGCCTGAGCCTCTGGCCTCAGCAGTCCTTCAGCTTACGATTTTGGATCAGAGCTAATCTTAAACTTAGATTAGGTGGGCCATCTGATCTGCTGCTGACATTGTCTTCAGGTTGCTGTGCTGGCCACAGATAGATGTATGTGTTCAGTAGGGGCCACGTCGGAACGCCTTGCAACCCAGTGAAAGCTCAAGCTGTTCTATGCTGAAAGTGCCTGCTGGCTATCGGCCCAACTCAATCTGACTTTCTGCTTGCTGCTTGCATCGAAAACCAGGTTCAGCTGGGGCCCGTGTAGTGGTGGTTCCACTGTACATTCTGTAGCCTTCTCAGATCCCATGTACGTACTGGGCACCCCTGATGGTACTTCAACTAAATTTAGATTGGATTGGTTCGATGAAGCCAAGCATATGAACTCCCCAGGGCAGTTGAAGATACGCTAGATCGAATACTTGGGAGCATTTTGGTCTTTAAATGTGAGAGCCTACAGAACCCTTTAAGACATTGGACCCATCCCAGTCAAAGAACTTAATCCTTGGCCCTCACTGGTGCCGACTACTCCTGGGAGCCAGGCCCCGGGTGTCTGTGTTTGTGGGTAACTTTATCCAGCCAGGTTAGCTGGTATAGAGTGCCAGATCAGACTTAAGTGGTATGCCTGTGATCGTGCAATGTTCATATTCAGATGATGGGAAATTGCTACGGTTAGGATCAGCCTAGGTTTGTCTAACCCTGCATCTCCAGCTCAGAAAATCCCTCATACTCATTGAGCAAAGGTTGTTTTGGCATGTTTGCCCGATGTTACTTAACAGGTGAACCTTCTGAAGTACAATTCGCAGGATGTTAAGTGGCTTGCGATGGTTATTGCAATGTACTGAATTATGCCCCCCCCCCCCTGAAAAAACATGAAGTCCTGGTTAATTAACATAACTGGCAAGTGTTCTGATGACTCCTGGTCCAGCAGCAGGAACAGAGCTAATGTCCGTGGCAGGGTCTGCACATAGATACGATGCAGTCAATTCTAATGGTATCCATCCACATACCTGATGTGGCGAATGCGAAGGTGTGTGTCTCAAGTCGGGTGCTGCATGTTGGCTCGCTTTTTCCTCGGACCTCGCCAAGCTCGCTGCTGCCTGGGACAGGTACTTGGTAGGTAGTGTTCACAGGATTGTGCCCCGGACTTCTCCACACGAAGCTTAGGGCTGTCTCTGCATATTTGTTCCAACAACAAGTGCAGTCGAGACAGCTGTTGATTGTAATTTTACAAGTGGTACTTCACAACCCAGAGCCAGTTCTGCAAATTGGGGCCACTGTTATGTACACCAGCTTGGAACTACTCGCCTTCGCAGCCCAGTGCTACCCTGGATGAAGATGTCACCACATAGTGTTATTAGCTTCTCAGAAAGGGAGGCTTTGTTACCGGCTCGAAACCATGGATCACCGTGGAAAAGCTGCAAAGTCATGGTGCTCTCGGCCATTGGCTGTCTCAGCGCGCAGTTGCATGCTGCTGCTGGCTCTGGGTGTGCCGGTGGTGATGAGCCTTGGCTTCATGTATTTCGGGGTGGTCGAAACATACCTTGGGGCAAGACTCTTTTTGGTTTCGGGTCCTGAATCAAGAACAACCGCATATACTATCGATGCAGAATGTAGTAGTATGATTGAAGCATTGACGATGAGAGTGTGTGACCTCTTTTAGCAGTGGTTCTGGCCAATGTTATGTCTATACCTATAACTAAGTAGCTATCTATGTGTCTATGTCACAATATCTATCCAGAGTTTGTGCTTGAACATATCATAATGTCTGCACATAAATGAATCTTTGTCATGAACCTGTAATACCAGTGATGTTCTAGGTACAATCGAATTCCATAACACTCGTTGGGCTCTACGTATGCAATATCCACAGGAGTACCAGCAAATAGCAGCTGTGAAGGTTTGGTAAGGGTGCTGCTTAAAGAAAGCCTCTGTGTAATCATGTGTGTGGTGCAAATTCAGGGGTTAACAACTGTACTGGTTGTTACTGGGCCT